CTTGTTGTGCATTTCCAGATTTTTTTATTTCGAATTTCCAGCAAACCAATTTTTTTTCTATCTTGTGCAACAACAACAACAACAAGATTCCATTTATAAAGCGCCTTTCACGTCAGGAGGACGTCCCAAGGCGCTGCACAGTTGGGTCATGACCCGAGCAGGGGGGAAATGGTCAGGGTGAGGGGAGGGGAGGGAGCGAGGAGGGGGAAATGGTCAGGGTGAGGGGAGGGAAGGGAGGGAGCGAGGAGGGGTAGAGAGTTGAGAGGGGAGCTGAAGGCTCGGTCAAAGAGAAAGGTCTTGAGACCGGCCTTGAAGGGGGAAAGGGAGGAGGCGGCGAAGGCACTGGGGGATGGAGTTCCAGAGCCTCGGGGCTGAGAGGCTGAAGGCCCGGTCACCGATGGTAGGGCGGTTGGGGCGGGGGATGTGGAGCAGACCGGAGCCGGAGGAACGGAGGGTACGGGCAGGTAGGTAGGGGGATAGTAGGTTGGAGAGGTAGGAGGGAGCGAGGCCGTGAATGACCTTGTAGGTGAGGATGAGGATCTTGAATTCGATCCTCTGGGGATGGGGAGCCAGTGGAGGCGAGCGAGGGTGGGAGTGATGTGGTCCCGATGTCTGGTGCGGGACAGTACACGAGCTGCAGAGTTCTGAATGACCTGCAGTGTGGAGGGAGGTGCCGGGAAGGCCGGCGAGGAGAGAGTTCCCATAGTCCAGCCTTGAGGTGACAAAGGCGTGGACCAGGGTTTCAGCAGCGTGAGGGGTGAGGTAATGGCGTAGTCTGGCGATGTTCCGGAGGTGATGGAAGGCGGTGCCAGTTGTGGTGCAGATGTGAGGGAGAAAGGACAGCTCAGGGTCGAACAAAGTGCAGACAAAGTCTGTTAACTTGATAGACAACATATATATAAGATTGTCCCAAAGGAATGGATTGCGATCATTTTGGATAAGATTTAATGTTTCAAGCAACCTTCAAAGCAATACCCCATATAAATATTTTACAACTCTTCAAAAAACTGTATTATACCAGTTACCAAACATACCACGAAGACAACTTTACATATTGTTGACAAGTAATAATAGATCTATAGATTGGTATACAAATAATGTTGAAATAAAATAAAAGCTTAAAAGTGCTTCACCATTGTTTCTGCAATGTTTGGATAAGAGAATAGTGGAGTGGGAGGTGAAGGAAAAATCTAGATGTGTGAAAAACCTAGAGATTTTATCCTTAAAGTTTAGGGAGTATCTATTCAGACCTTTCCTCCAAAGCAAAAGCAGATTAAGTCCATCTTTTTGATCAGCCACAGGCAGAAACCCATCACCATGTTTAAGACTATTCAAAGCAGACAGAGAGTTTCACATATGTATGGTATTTGCTCTCTCTCTCTCCCCAGAGGAACGCATCCAACCTACCTCATCCGGAAGGTATTAGGTGCAGGTTGGCAAAAGACAAGGTTTGGGGATCTCAGAGTGTGTTTTGGGATTCTGCTCGAGTCTAACCAGCTAAAACTGCATAGCTTGCAATTGAAAGAATTGTCTGACAAGCTCCCTGCTGCTTATTCAGTCTGGTCATCCTACCCATTTGGGCTTTCGATTGCAGGATCAATCAAAGCTGGATCGGAAGAATCCCCGCTCTCAGTGACAAATCTGCCCCTCCATGTCTAATGATGGCTAGTCTGTCTGTCATCAGCAGGGTATGCAGTACTACGGATCTACCTGCCTCAGAAATTAGACTCCCGAAACCATCACAGAGGATCGACTCGATACAGCCATTGCCAAGCACATCATCTTGTAGTCAATGGGACCCCACTTACCTTATCTCCCCCCACCCCTTCAGTGATTGAAAGTTTTGTAATGTATTTTGAAGAAGCAGGTTTGATTGCTTGAATCATCTTTTGTAGCAGGTTGTACAGAAATAACAATAATATTTGTATTGAATGCAGTTCCTTGTCACACCTCCAAATGTGTTTCAAAGAGCTTCGCAGGGTTCACTGTATAGTGTACTGACTGTGTATTTGTAGGTGGATACAGCAGCCAATTTGCACACAGCAATAATAATAATCCTTGCATTTGATACAGTGCCTTATCGCATCTTCGAGACGTCTCAAAGTGCTTCACAGAATATATTGGAAAGTGATTGACTGTATTTTGTGGGAGTAATGCGGAAGCCAATTGCAGTGCACTGCAGGTATGTGGAGTAAGAAAACTTGCTCAACTTTTCACCCTGCCCGGGAATCGAACACAGTTCCTCTCGCTTGCGAGGCACGTGCTCTAACCACTAAGCTACAGGACTCCATAATTTTAGTAGAATGTTTCCACTTGCATGACACCAATAAAGCACGACCAAAGCTTTGATTTGGTTGACCAAAAATAAGTTTTCTGAAGTGAACACATCAGACAGCAGTGCACTATAAATGTTACCAGTGATGATAATAATAATCCTTTTATTTGATATGGCACCTTATCACATCGTTGAAATGTCTCAAAGCACTTCACAGAATATACTGTAAAGCGAATGGACTGTATTTTTTTTGGTGAAACGCAATAGCCAATTGCGCACAGCGGTGTCCCAAAACAGTCGTGGATAGAGAGACCAAGTTATTATTATTTTTACTTTTGATGGCAGGTCCTGGTGAGCAGTGCAATTTGATGAGACAGAATCTACTATAGAAGCAAACACAACTTCACTGTTGGCTAACTAAACCACGAGCCTCATCAGTAAAAAGATTCACTTTAGGCTATTACTTCCACCAGATCTTGATGCATTTGAGTTCAACAACGTTGCATTTGTATAGCGCCTTTCATGTCGGGAGGACGTCCCAAGGCGTTGGACAGTGTGCAGTTCAATCTGCACAACTCAGTGCTGAATTACAAAATTGTTAGTGAAAATGTTAAAACAATAATTATATTTCCAAAAAGCACTTCAGGGTTGAAATTAACGACTAAGAAAACATTTCTAAACTCTTCCATTCTGTAATAACACTGAAACAACGTGCAACACAGATCAAGGTCAGAGTGTTCCACATGACTGTAATTATTTACAGTTTTAGAAAATGGATTAAAGATCAAATAATTTCCTACCTTTTGCACAGCCCAAAAGAGCTGAGCAGACTCAGGTTCTAATACTGTATAACCACATAGCAAGACCTTACCTGCAATAAACTAGAATCAAAGGAGCAGGCACTTGGGAGCTTAAATTCCTGATTCTCAAGCACAAATTCAAAAAAGAACAGTGTATGCAATTCATGTGAGTTGTCAATTTAAGTAAGCAGATAAACAATGCAACTTATTTCTCTCTCTCTCTATATGTATATATATATATGAGAAAAGAAAAAGCAGACAAAATAAAAATGTTAGGAAGCAGTGAGCAACACCCAATCATCACACAAAGAAATATCAAATTCTCATACAGAAATTAAATCATCATCAACACAGAGAGAGAGAGCAACTCCTGTGCTGAGGGTTTATACAGGTTTAAAGTCCCTTTGGGAAAGCAGCCTGGAGACATGGAGAACATGTAAACACTCTCTCTCTCTCACAGTCACACAGTCACAACTGCAGAGAAAAATGGGGAATACGAGAAATTCCTGGCACATGAATGTGGGAAGGAAGCAATCCTGGGAAGCTTGTCATATTGTTTTTTTCCCCCTCACTGATAAAGGTTTATTAGCTGATAAACGTGGACATTTAACCCCAGCGAGAGGCGGTGCATTCCTGCACTCAGAGAGACAGGGCAGCAGCCAGGGACTGCCACTCACTGCCCCCCAGCCACCCCACTGCCACTCACTGCCCCCCCACTGCCACCCCACTGCCACTCACTGCCACTCACTGCCCCCCAGCCACCCCACTGCCACCCCACTGCCCCCCAGCCACCCCACTGCCACTCACTGCCCCCCCACTGCCACCCCACTGCCACTCACTGCCCCCCCCACTGCCACTCACTGCCCCCCAGCCACCCCACTGCCACTCACTGCCCCCCAGCCACCCCACTGCCACTCACTGCCCCCCAGCCACCCCACTGCCACTCACTGCCCCCCAGCCACCCCACTGCCACCCACTGCCCCCCAGCTACCCCACTGCCACTCACTCCCCTCCAGCCACCCCACTGCCACTCACTGCCCCCCCACTGCCACCCCACTGCCACTCACTGCCCCCCAGCCACCCCACTGCCACCCCACTGCCACTCACTGCCCCCCTGCCACCCCACTGCCACTCACTGCCCCCCCCACTGCCACTCACTGCCCCCCCCCCAGCCACCCCACTGCCACCCACTGCCCCAGCCACCCACTGCCACTCACTGCCCCCCAGCCACCCCAATGCCACTCACTGCCCCCAGCCACCCACTGCCCCCAACCACCCACTGCCACTCACTGCCCCCAGCCACCCCACTGCCACTCACTGCCCCCCAGCCACCCCACTGCCCCCAGCCACCCACTGCCACTCACTGCCCCCCAGCCACCCCATTGCCACCCCACTGCCCCCAGCCACCCCACTGCCACTCACTGCCCCCCAGCCACCCCACTGCCCCCGAGCCACCCCACCGCCACTCACTGCCCCCCAGCCACCCCATTGCCACCCCACTGCCCCCCAGCCACCCCACGCCACTCACTGCCCCCAGCCACCCCATTGCCACCCCACTGCCCCCCAGCCACCCCACTGCCACTCACTGCCCCCCAGCCACCCCACTGCCACTCACTGCCCCCAGCCACCCCATGCCACCCACTGCCCCCAGCCACCCCACCGCCACTCACTGCCCCCCAGCCACCCCACTGCCACCCCACTGCCACTCACTGCCCCCAGCCACCCCCCAGCCACCCCACTGCCCCCCCACTGCCCCACTACTGCCACCCCACTGCCACTCACTGCCACCCCACTGCCACTCACTGCCCTCTGCCAGTCGCTCACTGGCTGCTGAGGCAGGGAGACAGGCAATGCCGGCAATGGTACTTGCAGAGAGGAGGAGGGACACAAAGTTTCTCTTTGCTGTGGAAAGTTGCAGCTCTTACCTTCCTTGGCCAGACAGCCCCCGCTCAGGCTGAGCAGAGCGAGCGGCAGGAGCCAGGATCCCATGGTGTGGGAGTCTCACTGCGCGACAGCCCACGGCTCGGGCTGGAGAGGGTGTGGGCTCTGCTCTGAGCTGCTGCCTGTGCTGTGCTGTGCTGTGTGGAGCCTCTCCCTCTCTCTCTCTCCCTCTCTCAGTGTCAGTGCCAGTCTGCACTCACACTGCCTGACGTCAACTCACTGGGAGGAGAGAAAGCACAGGTGAGATTGACACTCACTGGGTCCTAAACTCCCATTAAACATACATCCAGAGTACAGTACCCTAACAGCACACTGTACTGTACAACACTCTAACAGCACACTGTACCAATGTACAGTACCCTAACAGCACACTGTACCAATGTACAACACCCTAACAGCACACTGTACCAATGTACAGTACCCTAACAGCACACTGTACCAATGTACAACACCCTAACATCACACTGTACCAATGTACAGTACCCTAACATCACACTGTACCAATGTACAACACCCTAACATCACACTGTACCAATGTACAGTACCCTAACAGCACACTGTACCAATGTACAACACCCTAACATCACACTATACCAATGTACAGTACCCTAACATCACACTGTACCAATGTACAACACCCTAACAGCACACTGTACCAATGTACAGTACCCTAACATCACACTCTACCGATGTACAACACCCTAACATCACACTGTACCAATGTACAGTACCCTAACATCACACTGTACCAATGTACAACACCCTAACAGCACACTGTACCAATGTACAGTACCCTAACATCACACTCTACCGATGTACAACACCCTAACATCACACTATACCAATGTACAGTACCCTAACATCACACTATACCAATGTACAGTACCCTAACATCACACTGTACCAATGTACAACACCCTAACAGCACACTGTACCAATGTACAGTACCCTAACATCACACTGTACCAATGTACAGTACCCTAACATCACACTGTACCAATGTACATACCTAACAGCACACTATACCAATGTACAACACCCTAACAGCACACTGTACCAATGTACAGTACCCTAACATCACACTGTACCAATGTACAACACCCTAACATCACACTATACCAATGTACAGTACCCTAACATCACACTGTACCAATGTACATACACCCTAACATCACACTGTACCAATGTACAGTACCCTAACATCACACTGTACCAATGTACAGTACCCTAACATCACACTGTACCAATGTACAGTACCCTAACATCACACTGTACCAATGTACAGTACCCTAACATCACACTGTACCAATGTACAACACCCTAACATCACACTGTACCAATGTACAATACCCTAACATCACACTATACCAATGTACAGTACCCTAACATCACACTGTACCAATGTACAGTACCCTAACATCACACTGTACCAATACACACCCTAACAGCACACTGTACCAATGTACAGTACCCTAACATCACACTGTACCAATGTACAACACCCTAACAGCACACTGTACCAATGTACAGTACCCTAACACCACACTGTACCAATGTACATACCCTAACATCACACTATACTACCAATGTACAGTACCCTAACATCACACTGTACCAATGTACAACACCCTAACAGCACACTGTACCAATGTACAGTACCCTAACAGCACACTGTACCAATGTACAGTACCCTAACATCACACTGTACCAATGTACAACACCCTAACATCACACTGTACCAATGTACAGTACCCTAACATCACACTGTACCAATGTACAGTACCCTAACATCACACTGTACCAATGTACAGTACCCTAACATCACACTGTACCAATGTACAGTACCCTAACATCACACTGTACCAATGTACAGTACCCTAACATCACACTGTACCAATGTACAACACCCTAACATCACACTGTACCAATGTACAATACCCTAACATCACACTATACCAATGTACAGTACCCTAACATCACACTGTACCAATGTACAGTACCCTAACATCACACTGTACCAATGTACAACACCCTAACAGCACACTGTACCAATGTACAGTACCCTAACATCACACTGTACCAATGTACAGTACCCTAACATCACACTATACCAATGTACAGTACCCTAACATCACACTATACCAATGTACAGTACCCTAACATCACACTGTACCAATGTACAACACCCTAACAGCACACTGTACCAATGTACAGTACCCTAACATCACACTATACCAATGTACAGTACCCTAACATCACACTGTACCAATGTACAGTACCCTAACATCACACTGTACCAATGTACAACACCCTAACATCACACTGTACCAATGTACAACACCCTAACAGCACACTGTACCAATGTACAACACCCTAACAGCACACTGTACCAATGTACAGTACCCTAACATCACACTGTACCAATGTGCAGTACCCTAACAGCACACTGTACCCTAACCCTCATATCACGTTATGCATATATTTTGTAACTGTGGTATTACTGGTATCACATAAATCACTGGCGGCTTATTTTCCTTATTGCCAGCAACTCATAAGGGAATGACTGAGAGACATATACCTGATGAAGTTCCACATAATATACTTTATCTTGGTGCACTTGAACTGTTAACCCTCCTCGTATTATCGTATCCTTGGGAGAGGGGAGAAAAAGATTAATTTGACCAGATAAAATGCTTATATGTCTTGACCCCAGTCATCCCAGTGTCTTGACCAGACAAAATTATTTATTCACTTCATGGATGTTTGTGGGGCATTGCTATGTGCAAATTAGTGACTGCATTTACCTGCAAAACATGACAATTTACACTAAATCTGAGAAGCACTTTGAAATGTTTTGATGATGTGATAAGGTGCTAAATCAAAGGCAAGGATTATCATTATATTTGTTCACACAAATAGAGTTAGCTCTTAGAGTGACGTGACTGTATGGAGGAGGGAGCACAGAAAGAGAGAAAAGAGCCTAACCATCCTGTTAATCTTTTGGTACAATTGGTGACAGCACCAGGTAGGCAGAGTGGAAGGGAATTAAAAGTCTGACTGCTTCTAGACAATATACAACAGACAATATCCCATACACTGTTAATCCTTCCACTGTATTAACTGAAAGAAGGGCAAGCAAGCATGTCTTACTGAGATCACAAATTATTCATGCCCACATATGGTATATAGTTTTAAATCACAAGATTAATTTGGATGTAAAAGACCTATCTGATGTCATCCTTCCAGAATACCAAGCCTTACTGTCCTCCCATCACAGTATCAAGCTGTTTTTTTAAATGAGTCCAATGTCCTGGCCTCAATCACCTTTCCTGGCAATCTATTCCAGTCATTGTTTACCCACTGAGTAATAATAGTAATAATCCATGCACTTGCACTTGATATAGCGCCTTATCATGTTGTTGAGACATCTCATGTGAAGTGGATTGACTGTGCATTTGCTCTGTATTTGCTAAATCCAAAATACAACAGTCCATTTGCACACAGCAATGTCCCACAAACAACCATGGAACGAGTGACCAATCTTTAATTGAGGGATTCACTGGCCAAGGGAAACTCCTTTTTTTTGAATTGTGCCATGGAACTTTTAAAATCCACCTGAACAGGCTGATGGGACCTAGAGTTAATTTCATTCGAAGGATAGAACCGCCAACAATGAAACATACCCCCAGCACTGCATTGGAGTGTCACCTTAGACAATGCGATTCAATGTCCTGATGTGGGGCTTGAACCAAAAATCTTATGACTCAGAGGGGACAGTGCTACCATTGAGCAAGGCTGACACCCCCAAGATAAAAGAGCAAAGATAATGTGATACTTCATTGTATCACTTTTACTGGGAGAGGAGTAAGAAAGAGAGGGAGAGAGAAGAAATAAGTTAGCAGAAGTTTTAAATTCCACATACACCCCACTATTTACTCCTCCAGAATTGAAATACCTTTTCAGTTTCCAAGATAGGTGGATATCTTCTTTAATAATCTGCACAAATAATTGCATACATTTCTAATTCTGACTATAGTGTATTATGGTACATAATTAGGATAATTTGGAGATATCTTTACTAACAGTATTCTTGGAATAAAACCAATGCAATTTTGGCTCAGTCTTCAGATTACGACAAGTCTTCAGAAATGGAATATGTAGGGTTCAACAGGATAAAGATAAATTTCAACTGGTTGTGACGGAAGGAAGGTAGAGAAGAGAGATACAGTACTGATCATTCGTATCACCAAGTTATGACAAGAATGTGTATATCCATTGACAAGAATCACTATCAACAGCTATCACAGGTGTTCTGTTACACATCTGCCATTTTTAATCATGGTTAAGCATCAGAAATATGTAAAAAAAAACTTTTGGTTCCATAATGATCTAAACTAACACTGCAGTTTGAAACAAAGAAAATTGTAAACAATCTACACACTTCATTGTTTGTATTTTTGGTCATCCAGGTGTTTGACACATGCAGAAACCCATCACCATGTTCAACCAGACAGAGTTCCACATATTATGCCACCTACACATGTAAATTTCCCTGTATCTAAAAGGGAGAGCACCCATTCTTCCTGGAGAGATGTTCCTTGCTTACCTCAATCTAGAAAGTATTAAGTGCAAGTTTGCAAGAGCCAAGGGTTGGGGACCTCAGAGTGTGCTGGAGTTTAACCGACCCTCCAACCATATAGCATGCCATATGAAAGCACTGTCTGACAAACTTCCCAATGTGGTTCCAGCCTGGGGCCACCCTACCTGTTAGGGCTTTAGTTTGCAAGGTTAACAAGAGCTGAGTGAGAAGAATCCAATGACTGGTCGTTCCCTCCAGCTCCGGCTGATGAACTAGGCTGGCTGGTCTGTCGTCAGCAGTGCCTTGGAGTACTATGGACCTGCCAGACTCACGAACCAAATTATCGAGACTACCACAGAGGAAGGAGAAGACAATACAAATATCAATAGGACAGAGGGATTAAGTGGTTAGGAAGGTGTTACTGGATAAACTTAAACCTGTTTATACGAACACAAGATGACATTTGGTTAAATATTTTGAGTTAGAGATATACATTCACTAATGAAAACATCAATATCAGTGGCATCACAGAAACATGGCTTTGAGTGATAGAGCTAAAAGTACTT